GATAATGGTCCATCGTTCTCTATCGGTCATTTATTTATAATAAAGAAATAAGCACTTTTAAATATTTCATTTTCTAACTCAATTACATAAATCTATAATAAAAAGTTAACTATTTTTAAGTTTTTTATTAATAAGAACTTTTTATTATATTAATTTAATATTATATTTAATTAAATTAGTTTTGTAAAAAATATTCATTAAATAAACGTGTTTTTCTTAATATTATTTATTATATTTAATCATATCAATAATATTTTTTTAATTTTTATTATTTGAAAAAATTTTACTTAAAGGCAAATATGACAGTTTAAAGTATTTAGACAATGCGATTACAATTTGAACATTAATCATATTACTAATTAGTCATTTACCATTTACGAATTTGAACAATGTGTTAAAAAATACATTTAAATGCATATATATTTATTGTTATTTATATATATATATATACATATATATTTATGTATATAAATGCATTTATATACATATATATTTATATGTATTGACAATACCCAGTATCATATTTATAGAAGGACATTTAAAACATTTGTATTTGCCATAGGCGCAATTTGAACAAAATTTTGGGAAAGTTTACTTAATTTCCTTCTTCTTTAAAAAAAATTCCTGTATAAAATTCCTTGTAATTTTATTATTTTTGATGGGCTATGACAGAATTTTGAGGGAGGCTAAGCCCATCTAAAACCGTCAGATTACACATATGGTACAGGACTCTATTGGACGAAGTAGCACCTGACAACATAATTTAAATTAAATAAAATAATATTGTAATTAATAATATTTTACAAATTAATTATATAGTAAATTACATATTATATAATTAATTACAAAGTTATAAGTTCGAATATGGTCCTTGCCTATATTTAATGGGCCCAATGTTTTCAATTGTTCTGCGAAACAGTAAATTGAAGTCTGATAATACCTACAGAAGGTAATCAATTACTTCCCCCAAAACTATTATATCGGTAAAATCACACTAAGTTTTCAATTCAATTAATATAAATGTGTACTGGCTGATGGCGTGTTCGGCATAACTTAAAAAAATGAATAAATGCATATAATTCCGCGGTCCACTTATGACAATTTATGTTAACGTTAGTTGTAGTATCAAGCAGTCCGTTTTAAAGTTCTCTCACTCTAAAAAAGTGATATGACGGTTCTAGATGTTGTTAATTCATTTAAAAGCCAATACAAGTATTATAAATTAGACACAATTATTTTACGATAGGTAACTTTAGCCCACTAAATTTATCGTATTAACATGGGTTAAAAGAGGGTTTGTATTTTTTACCTTGTTATTTAGTATGCCATCAAAAAACTCGAATACGAATTTCATAAGTTGTTCGGTTTGAGGTTTAACAATGTCAGTTTGGAATACCTGAAGGAAAAAAATGATCGTGTACGAGTGATTAACTACGCATTTCGGCTAGCAAATGCATTTAATGTGTTTAAATGATTAACATGAATCAATATTTCTTTTTTTGGTTATAAGTAATTTTTTGTCGAAAAAAGTAAAAATCTATTAACAACTTAAAAATTTCATTTTTATTTACTGAGAATATTTGCTAATTGGTTTTTATTATGTTAACAATAAGAAAGTGATGAAACTTTTCTCATCAATTAATTCATTAAATGTTTTATTAAAATTTGATATCTTCCTCTTTTTTTCCACAAGAAAATAATTTACTCGACAATAATACAATAACAAATCTTTTAATATTCTTGTTATGCCTATGTATTTTGGTAACCCCTTAGAATACCATTTATTACTTAAATATATTATATAATATTAAAAATATTAAGTATAGGATTTTTATAACTACCTAACTTATGAAAATGTTCGGGTAAACACCAAAGATAAAATAATTTAGTACATTTTAATATTTAAGGCTAATAATATATTTATTTAATATTTTAACAGCATTTAAATTTTATTATTCTATGAATGGTTCTCGACACTTTTTTCACCAAGATATTACTCAATTTAAAATTTGTTGCAGTAAGATAATATGTTATTGTAACATTTAATTTATATATATAGTATATTAGATAGAATATAAAGATATTGAGGAGCAAATAATTTGATTAAATAATAGTTGAAAAACATTTGAAATAAAAATTAATTATATAAATGAAATTTTAGTAACAATTAATGTGAGTATATTTAATGAAAATTAAATCAAATATAAATTAAAATATGACTAAACGATTAATTATTGTTAATGTTAACTGAAATACGAATGTTAAACAGTAGAAAATAAATATTTATTAAATATTCATTCAATACTTATATGTTACTTATGGATATAAATTGTTTAAGAAACATATATAAAATAAAATTAAGAACAGAGTTTTTAGGTATATAAATAAGCTTTATTTCGTCAAAATTACAATAAGCATGTGTTATTTTACAAATGAAATTTAACTCAGTGTGAGTAAAAAAAAAAAATAAATATTGAAAAATATAACAATATAAAATGCGTGAAAATTTATATTACACAAAAAGAAATATGCAACAAAACAAATATGAAATAACAATAAAAAGAATCAAAAATAATGAAAATGCGAACAAAAAACATCCACAAATGAGTGGAAAACAACAGTTGTCAAACATTTGAAAAATAATCAAACTCTGACTTATGTGAAACTCCGTAAGGAGCGACTGCGGCGCGTTGAAGAAGATTGGCGGCGGCTTCCATGACAACCATAACGTATCATGTCACACTTCTTCAACAGACGCCTGTTGCGAGTTGCATAGGCCTCAAATTGTGCGGCTGAGTCACTGAGTCTTACGAACATACTCCGGCCATATTCCAAAAGAGTCGATGGCTCATATGACGATGAAGCGACCAACTCTCTGAGCTTTACGCACCGGGCGGTGGTATCTAGAACAGTTGGCTCGGTCGAGGAAGTATGCGGATCGAACAGCTTTTTAAAGATAAGCATAAATTCCCATACTGGTCTTATACGCCGCATACTACGTATTTCCCCGGGACCATATTCGTCCGAATAATAGTCGATGGTGTTCATAATGTGCAACCGCTGGGCCATTAAGCAATCTCGCAACACTTCGAAGGCGGGACTAAGTGGTTGAGTGTTCCTGACAGCGGATTCTGGATCCCACAGATCATACTCATCTCCAATTGAGTGGATCAGATGTCGATACAGTTTATCGGTGTCCAATAGATCTCCAATCAACTTGTCCCGGCCTTCTTGGATCTGCCTGACTAATCCTGATAGCTTCGTATTTTGCGAGTCCATGTTGAGCTTGTTGAATGAAATGGTATTCACAATGCACAGTTTTTTTATCGCAATCAACGTTAATTAGAAACTTATTAGACGAGAGAAATCGGGCAGACCCGTAAATTTGTCTTCGATGTTCACCGTATATATAGGCAAAAATTCTCTAGTTGCTTAGAAACAGAATAGTTATAATTTTATTTTCGGCTAGTATACTTTATTATTTTACTTAAAGCCAATATACGTTTTTTACTACGAGCCAGCATATTTTATCATTTTTCTTCTAACTAATAAGTAATTTTATTTTAGCCAGAATGATTATAATGATTTTTTAATTGACAAAAAAATTAGAAAATTAACAGTTTCACTTGTACGTATATTTTAATATCACTATAAGCAATGAAATATTTAAAAAAGTCTATAAAAATATATACAAAAAGATTTTTTAAATATGTGTAGCAATTTTTTAATGGCCGTTTTTACATGAAAAAAAAATTATTAACTTTGAAAATTTGTTAATCAAACATTTTTATAATAAACTATATAGTTTATTAGACATTTCTTTTTGGCATTAATATAATTTAGCTCACACGCGTTTTTTTTTTTACTACGATTACAGATATGTAAAAAATATATGTTGGTCAATAAATTATAACCCTTTAAAGTTTGCATATAAAGCAGTTATTAGGTCGCGAACATTCCATTAATATTCTTCTCAATGTTGTGTTTGTCAACAATCATGGAGAAAAAATACTCAAATTGAAAGTACCTATTACTAATATTGTTGTTTTGAAAGCCATTACGCCTCCGTTTTCATCTTTAAATTTAATTTTTCAAAATAATGTGCATTTTGCAAGTAAATATTATTAGTTAAAACAAATTTTCTTTAGGTAATGCTTATAATATTATATAAATAGGTTTTCTATTCGTATTAACAATATTAATTTAATAAAAAACATTTTATCATAGGATGAAGTACCTACACAGGAAGTTAAAGTTGAAAATCAAAACTATAAAACATAATTCAAGAATTGATATTGACAGATTATTTTAAATAACTAGATTATAGTTAGTTACAAGGTTTTAACCTTATCCCTTTCAGTTACACTTGAAGCTTATTTAGACAATTTGTAGTATTTATAACAACTTAAAAGCATATCTTAATTTCAGTGTTACATAAACATAAAATTTCATTTTACTTATTTCTATGAAATGGAAATATTGATTTTTAAATTAAAGTGATTACAGATTTTTACAGGTAAATTGTAGGAATTTTTTTTATATTGTTTAAAATGATTATTTAAATGTACATTAAAATTGTTTGAATTATCAAAATATCAATCAATAAAATTTAAAAAAATTACAATTATAAATTAAAAAATACTTTTATTCAAATATTCGATCCACTTTTTCTTAATTAAAATAAATAAGAGGTAAACAAATTAAATTTTGGATTGTGGTTGTATTTGTTTAATATTGAATAAATTTTTCAAAAAAAAATTAAATTAGATTTATTATTCCCAAACAGATTATTAAAAATTAATAAAATATCTGTTTAAAAAATATAAAATTATAATTTAAAATATGTTATATATTATAAAATATTATATAATAATTATATTTAAAATTTAAATTATTATTTAAGAATACTTAATAATAAATTCACTAATAAAATTTATCACATCAAGTCAAAAATCAAAATAAGTAGAACTTAGCATAACAATTATAATATATTCCTATTAAAAAAATAAAACAAAGTTTATTTAAAGTGAATATTCAATTAATTACAACTTTAATAATATATTTTGTTGAATTACATTTAATTGATAATAAAAATTTTATTCTAAATTATCACAAGTATTATGGTTTCTTATAAGTTTGATATAATTAAAAATATATATACAGTAGTCTTACACAAAAAAATATTATGTTTTACATAAAGAAAAAGGTATCATTTTTGGATTATTAAGTTGGGTTCTAAGATTTATCATCAAGGTCATAATTTTAAAATTAAGTCTAAATTTATTATTTATAATTTTAATATATTATGATAATATATTCCATTACAGAAAATATTGTAAACATGTCTTAAAATTAATGAATCCTTAGGTAGCAAAACAAAAAATAGTTTAAAATTTTTTTAATTTAAGTCATTGAATATTACACATCTATTCCAAATGGAATGGGATTTATTAATGATATTATCTCTTATTTTGATCTAAATATGCACCATATTCAAGCAACTTTTAACATATCGATGATTTATCTTATCCATAATGAGGACTTCCTTCAAAATCCAAATTCAAAAATGTTAGCATTCCATTGAGATTGTATATAAAGGAACTCTAAAAACAAAATTTTTATATGAGTTGAAAACAATCTAGAAATTATTTTTAAAATGTTTTTACAAAAATTTTATTATGAAAATTCATTATTAATATATTTTAACCATATTATCAGAATAATAAAATTTAACTATTTTATTAATATAATAACACTAAAACTATGTTAATTAAAATATTTGGGCGTTGCTTGCTAAACTTAAAAATAATATAAATATAAAGTTTAAGGGGAAAATTAATTACTTAAAATTAAATAATGGACTTATATGCATTCATACATTTTTTTTAGCCACTTTGAACAAACAACTAGTTTGTTCAACTTAGTTGTAGGAATACATTGAAGCATAAAAATATATTTAATTTTAGATGGAATAAACTTCTCTAAGTTTTTAGGTCAATTAATAAAAAATTGTTCTGGCTGATAATGTGTTAGAAATAACTTAATGAAATTTATAAATGCATATGAAATCTGTTTCTTACTTAAATACAATGTCCATATAAAATCTTGTCATATTAAAAATATTATCAGCTACAATAGAAAAACTATGTTTATTGCCAAGCTCATGTTTTTCCAACCAATCAGTAAATCTTTTCAAACATGCCAGGAAAGGATCGGTTTGTTCTTAGAACAAATCGAAAATTAAAATTAGATTATATAATAATAATTTAATAAGTCAATTAAAACATTTAATTTATTATTTAAATATATTAAAGTTGTTTCAACAAGAAAAATTATAAATTTGCTATAGTTTTAAATTATAAAAATTAACAGTCTATGAAATTTATATTTATAAAGTCAGGAAAACTTATAAATTTATTTTTTTATTAATAAAAATTTAACATATTTATTTTAAACTGAAACATAATATGAGAAATAAATTTTTAATTTTATATAAAATAAGAAACATTAACTTTTTAAGTTTGATAACCTTACATAAAGATTTTATAGTTGAAAATAATTTAAAATCAATTTGAATAAAAAATTGTTAGTTAAGTTTATGAGAAAAGAAAATTAGCATTTTAAGAAAATGTTACTGAGATAGTAACATTGTATGTTAATCTTTCTGTGATGAGGTCGAGTATAATTATAATATTATTGACTCCCAAAGTCTTAATAATTTGAGAGTAACACTTGAACAATTTATCAAATTTTAATAGAAGTAATTTCCATACTTGGAAAGCACAAGAGAAAAATCATCAGTTGATTTAAATATTAATTGACATTATCTATCTATTAAAAATTAAAATATTAACTTTTAACAATTATATATTACAAGACTAAATACATAACTTGTGTATGTAATTTTACAAACCTTTAATAGTTTTAAAAATGTATTTCTTTGGTTACTAATTTGTTCAATTTGTATTAACATTTTTTTGGATGCATTCTAAAAATCTTGAAATATTAAAGTGAATATTTTGCATATGTAATAACTACATTTTGCTAAACTAAAAAAAGATTTTAATTAGAAGTACAGCCTTTAAAATAAATATTTAATTGATAGCTAACTCAAATTTATGTATAAATAATTGTGTTAAATAAACAAATTACTACAGACACTTTTGACATAGATAAAATAAAACAGATAAAATGTTTATGTTTATTTATAAAATGTTTTGATCTGAGATTATATTATCACAGATAAGGTAAAACATCGTTAAGTTATATTGAGTTTCATTTAAATCATTTACTGCTAAATATATAGTATATTTGAACAACTAATTAAATATTAATGATGTTTACTTAAGTATATCTTTTTTTTCTAAAAAAAAATAAAAAATGTAATGAAATGAAATGAAAAAACACAAGATATACTTTTAAAAATGTGCCCAGTAGATACTTTTTATTGAAGTCTAAATATTATAAACATATTTAGCATTCAGTAGCAGAATATTTAAAATCGAATTATTTAATTTGCTTTAGAGTTAAAAAGATTAATGTAGGTAGATTAATAATAGGTCAACAAATTCACCAATAAATAATACATTATGGCTACTTAAATTTTGGAAATTTTTTGAAATTCCATTAACATACAATGACTTTATGTATACATGCATTACTAATCATTTTGTACAATAATTATACTAAAAGGTGTTGTACAATAAATTAATATCTTATATGTGGTGTCACTGTATTGAGGTAGGTTCAAGTTATCAGTAAGTCAAGAAGAGCACAATAAGGGTTTATCTTATCTGTGATATTATGATTTCAATGGAAGAATGAATATTCCAACTTAATAACATATCACAAAAAGTTATTTTATTAATCATCAATGGAAATTATAAAACATGGGAATAAAAATTCTCTCTTTGACCTTCAAAAAAACCAACGGTTTTAGTAAAGAAGTTTGATCAAAATTTAGAATTAAGTTAAATAATTTTAAGGGTTAATCATTTTTAATTCATATAATTAGTTAATATATAAAGTAATTACTTTGTTGACTCTTCAGGTAACAAAATGAAATTTACTAACTTGAGATTATTGTCAGACTTAATCTAAAACTTATTTTTCTTAATAACGATTATTAATTTTAGTTAATTTTAACTTTCCTAATTTAAAATTATTCTACTTAAAAAAATGACTTAAATTATTTAAGTAAAAAATTTCAATATTTACTGTTTAAATTAAAATTATGATGGTATTTTTTTATATTTGAAATTACTAAAATTGTTTCAACCAATTCGAATTTCAGTAAAAATTTCATTAAAAACAAACTTAAATTGTATTTTATAACTATAGAAATTTTCAAAATAAAAATATATTTTAATAACAAACTAATATATTATTTGTAAGTGACAACAAATAAATTTAACATAATGCAATTTGATTATGTTGATTCTATACATTTAGATAATTTGTATTCAAATAGATACCTAAATGAATGTTAATAAGTAATAAATATGAATGTACATTTTTTTAGTAATTTTTTTTTATTTAAGTGGTATCATTAATTTTAAATTACTTTATGGGATCCTTATTAAATTAAGCTTAATCTGAAAATTGAGTCTTCTTATTTCTTATTCTGACTTTATTATCCGTATTAACAAATATTTTAGCTATTGTTTAAACCTTTGGTGCATTATATCGTTAAATCTACCTAGATTAATCAGCTAGGGTTTAATTTTTACTTTATATAATGGTCCATGATAATTTAAAATAATAACCTCTTGAATTTTTTAATATAAGATATTCTTTAACACCATAATTTAAAAATAATTTGTATTAAGTTTTATAAATTATTTTTGTTGGTTGGTTTCTATACAAAATTCTTATTTAGCTAGTTCATATTGAAGTTATGTCTGTAATATACATATTTATACTCATTTTATTCTATATTTATAAAATATGTAGGAATACTTTAAAAAAGTGTTTTATATAGCTAAAACAGCCATACAAAGTATACAAAAGATACATCTACTATTTGAAGAAATGTATTTTAAAATACTTCCTTTTGTTATGTGTTATTATTTCACAGATTCATAATTATTTAGATAATAACGTCAACTATAGTATATTAGAACATATTTCTTTTATCATTTATTTATTTATTCTTTTATATTTTAAACAACTATTGTTATTTATCTGTTAATTCTATTCAATAAGTATTTAAATAGTGAACTATTAACAAAAAAAAAAAAAATACATTATACTTAAATATTGTAGTATTCTAACTTCTTTATTTGTTTGACAGAAATCTGTAAATTAAAATTTTACTTCAATGAAATCACTTAAACAGTCATTTCAATTTCTCCATCATTTTCGGTTGTTATCAACTGTTACACAACCATTAAATCCAGTCCAAGAAGCTGCACTTAATGAAAAATGTATTTTAGTTGACCAAAATGATAAAGAATGTGGATATGCTAGTAAACGAGATTGCCACAAATTAGTCAATGGTGAAATTCCTCTTCACCGAGCATTTAGTGTTTTTCTTTTTAATACTAAAGATGAGCTATTATTACAACAACGATCATCAACAAAAATTACTTTTCCAAACCATTTTACCAATTCATGTTGTAGTCATCCATTATATGATATTATTCAAGAGCGTGATACTTTAAATGGTGCTAAAGCAGCAGCATGTCGACGACTTTCATTTGAATTAGGTATACCTCGTGAACAATGTAAACCAGAAGATTTGCAATATATTACCAGAATAAGGTAAGTTCTCAAAGTTTGTTTATAATATTGTTTATTACATTGTATATATTAATTTTTTATTCAGATATATGTCTGAAGGTGATGGAACTTGGGGTGAACATGAAATTGATTATATATTTGTTTTACATAAAGATGTTACTTTGGACCCTAATCCAGAAGAAGTGAAAACTGTTCTCTATGTACCAAAAACCAAAATTTATAATTTTCTAAATAATCTTAAATATCCAATTACTCCATGGTTTAATCTTATTGTTCAAAATGAATTATCACAGTGGTGGGAAAATTTACAATCACTGGAAAAAGTTGAAGACCATCAAAATATTATACATTATAACTGATTTTAAATTTATTACATTCTTATCAACGTATACATTCCCATAATAACATTTTATAATTGTTATTTACATTATTTGTAAATGATTTTATTGTTAATTTTCCAGTTTATCTTAATTGTATTGTAATTATGTTTTTGAGTTATATTAATATCTTGTTAAAAAATATTCATACTTATAAGATACTCATTGTCAGTCATTAAATTTCAAATTTACTACAGATTAAGCAATTAAGGAGAGATTGAGTAACTAAAAGACACTTTTTTCATAATGTAGTTAATTTTATCAACAAGTCATTATTAATTATTTTATGAAATTTGTTTATAATAGCAGTCTCTATTAAGATTTACAAAAAAGCAAAATATAAATTTTAAAAATATCTTGAGTAATGCATAGAAGAATGAGTTATCATCCCTAAAATATATCCGAGTACACATCGTTTTAGTCTAGTTCCTTAGTGGATATTACTAGTTTACAAATTTTTACTTTGAATAATATTAATGTTTATTAATTAAAATCACTATTATAAAAAACGATTCGATGCAAATCTGTAGATAGTGTTTAATTAAAAAATATTAATGGATTATTCCAAAAGCAACAGGATCTTCTATTTCATTATTTATATTCTGATTACAAGTTTTATGATTTAGAAGTGTAATATATGAATAAATAATTATATATATAGATATATTAATATTATATAAATATAAATAGTACTTATCTCAAAAAAAATATAATGATCCATACATTTTTCAAAAAGTTATATCATAAAGTTAAGAATATAAATAAGAATTTTTTTTATAAAAATCGTATTTTTTTTATTAACTTTGATGTTTATTTTTACCATGAAATTTTTTTTTTCATAATAAAGTAAATTACATAAGCTTTAATTTAAGATATATATAAAAATGTCCGTATTTCCGAAACACTTTTGAAAATTAAGTTGAAAAAGTTCTATATGTATTTTTAAGATTTGAACCCCCCTCCTGTATTAAAGGAAATGGTCCGATTTAAAAAAAAAGTAAGTCGAATAAAAAAGGGATATAAATATTATTTCTCATAAAAAAATTGTATTGATCCATACATTTTCAAAAAGTTAGCATAATAAAGTTAAAAATGTAAATTACAAAATTGGGAATTTTTACACAAAATATCATTTGGTAGCCATTTTCATCGTAAAGACAAAATAAAGTACGAAATTTATTTTTGTCCATGATAAAGTATATTACATAAGCTTTAATTTAATGTATATACAAAAGTGTCAGTATTTCCGGAACACTTTAAAAAGTTAATTTTTTGTGAAAAAATTGTCATTTTGAATCACCTCTGTGGGCAGTAAAGGATCAAATATATAAAAAAATAAATCAAATGATAGGTAAGGACATTTTGCATCTATTAAAAAAAAATTATATTGATTTGTTCAATTTTGAAAAGTTTTATGACAGTTTTAAGTAAAAAAAATTGAAAAATTTTCGAAAATTAGCGATTTTTAAATTTGTAATTTTTTTGGAGATTTCTCCCATTTACAGGGAACGAGAGAAATTTTTTCAATTATTTAGGGTAATGTTTTCGACTAGATACGATTTGTGATCTTTTGATGTATTGTTGAAAGAAATCTTTTCGGTGAGAGCTGAGAAAAAGTGGTAACAGACACAAAAAAAAATAAAATAAAAAACACATTATATTAAAATTTATACCTTCTCAGCTTTGCATCAAAGCTAAAAAATGAAAGAATAAGTTTAAAAATAATTAGGTTCCATAGAAGGCTGTTGGGATATTTAAAAACCTTAATGGTAGGAATAAGATATCTAATAATAAACCACAATGACAAACATAGGCCACTTTATGATGAATCATAAACAGCAATAAAATGAAAGTAAAATCAATAAACAGAAGTCATAATCATAAAACCATCTGGTATTGTTAATTACTATACTGAAGACTCAGAATTATCTTCTGAAAGTAGAGATCTAATTAAAGGAAAACTACGAACAAAAATATAAAAACACTGAAACTCCATAAAGCTAAACATTTTAAAATTAGTTGATAACCGATTTTTATTACAAAATTCGCTATGGGTGCGCACAATGAACTTAAAGTCCGAGTGCATGGGAAGTGATTATGCCTACCCTTCTAATAACTTCATTTAAAAATATATATTTGAAACAACTATTTTTAACTTTTGAGACAAAAAACCACAATTACTTAAAATTTTGGATAAAAATATTGTACATTAGTATAAATGTTACAAATAATTATTTTTTTTATTAAACTTAAAGCTCAATTTCATATAATCACAGTAAAATGGAGATTCATAATAAGAATTTTTAACAAATTGGATATTCAAGATAAAAAACTAATTTCTAATGAATAAAAAATAAATAACTAAAAATTTTTTTATCATTAAGGTGGTGTAAAGAAATTGAATAGTAGAATAACAATGCTTATATTCGTGAATGAAACAAAAATTTATCTTGTTGAAGTGCATATTACTCGATACTGACAATGACACTCCAAGATGATTTTTATAATACAAAATTTTTGGTATACTTCATTTAATTATATTATAACATATACCCAAAAATTAACAAAACGAAACAAATTAATTTAAAAACCGTTTTAAAATTATAAAAATTTACATAAAATTTGGATTAACTTAAGAAATCAAAACTAATACTTTTTTGAATTGGTGTATTTTGGTAAATTTATGTTTAAAAATTATAAATATTTAATAAAATATCAGTTGAATTTATTTTATTCAACAGAGAAATATTTAATAATAAATTTACATAAATATTTGTATTTTTTAATTATATTATGTTATATTAAGGAATAGATATTTATTTTGTTTAAAATAAAAAAAAATCAAGTGAACAATTTTACAAATATCAAGTAAATTATAACCTGATTTATTGCAAATAACTATTTAAATAAAATGGGGAAAACATAATTAACAATTGCTTAATTTATTTACATTATAAAAGTAATTTCTAAATCATCAACTTTTCATTTTCTTTTTGTTCTCAAAAAAACATAATGATAAAATTCAATATCACAATTTATATAAGTATCGCATTTGTATGTTCAGACTTCAAACAGTTTATTTTAGTAATTAGTTAAATAACTTAAGCGATTAACTCAAGATAAAATTATATTAACACTAATTAATATATATTTAATCAGTACACAAAAATACTTTTCATGTTATAAATTTAAATAAATAATATACAGAACATAAATTTTGATGTTTTATTAATTTTGTTATTGATTTTATTTAATACAAATATTGTATATAAAACTAATCTCAATTCTAGAAAACAATCTAAATACATTAATTAAATTTCATAATTAGTGTTGTAACACCAGTACACGACTAGACAATTCATATTGAATTTGTTACGCAATAACCATAAATGTCCAATTTATTAATTCAGTGCGATGGTGGGTTATCAGTAACTTTGGGTTGTTTTCGTACATTTGTTGCTGGTTGTGGTATTTGCGATTGCATTACAGTTTGTCTATTGCGACTAGGAGGCGAAGAAAATCTATGAGGCATATCAGTAACATAATTAGTTGACTGTTGTTGTGAAAGAGGTGGTGTTGAAGATTTATTATTAGGTTGTCGTTCAATATCCTGTACATTTGGTCTAGTTATAGTTTGTGATACCTGAGGTTGGGCTGAGGTTGTAGAAGTTACATGATCTTTTTTGGTTTGAGTTGGCATTGAAATAGTTTCATTGGGAGTTAACATTGAAAGTAATAACTCTTGCATAAAAAAACTACGATCTGCACGGTCAACATCTAGCTTTTGTTGCTCCGATTCTGTGAGTGGTGCATCAATATACCTAATTTTTTTTTTTGATTAATTAATAATTGTAAATTAATGTAATTTTTTTGTTATTTTATTTTTTTATACTATAAATTTTATACAAAATAAAATTTTTTATTTTTCTTATTAGTAAAAAATAATGAAAAATTGCTTCAAACATATATTAAAAAAGCAATAATCATTAAAAAATATTCTATCAAAAATGATAATTGAAAAAGTTAAGTCTGAGACACTAGTATATATATATTTAACTATAAATAAATAAACAATACATATAGGTTTTCAAATAAAACACTTTAATAGAGTTCTAAATGTTTAAACTAATAAAAATGAAGCTAGTTAATATAAACTTTTTGCTAACAAAAAGTGATTTAATTAGGCTAGACTAAAATAAGTTTTTAGTTTAGTTTAAATTAGTCTCCCAGTTATAATCTTCTCTATAAATATCATTATAATCATCTTCTTTAGCTCTTATCCCAGTTAATTGAGATTGGCTCTACCTTACAATTTGACATTTTTACACACCATATACATAACACAATATTATTATAGCTAAGGATGCCAGCAAGAGTGCTAGGTGTGTGTCACTGTTAAAGCTCTTATTCAATCAGCTATCCAGAAGCCAACAGCAAATAGCATAGTTGAACAATATACTGAGTCATACACCAAGCCACATTTTCTCTCTCCATACATATTTTACTTCAGCCACCAATTACTCAAAGTTATTAAGACATATTTTTATATTTAACTTTAAAGGATTAAAGTATTGTCAAAATTAAAACAAATTTTTTGTATACTTATGGTGATGTGTTCAAACAGTTTATATACTTAAATTTTTTATTAGTTTTTCATAAAAAAGTAAGATGATTGTCTCTGGTATTGCTGATAAAAATTTTTATTGAAATTTTATCGTGAAATTTTTATAGTTCCATTTAATTTTTAAAAAGTTATTTCAATATAATAGAATAAAAACTGAAAATATCACAATCGATTGTTTTATAATAATTGTAGTTTTTGGGACAATTATAGTAATTGAAAATAATTTTTCCAAATGATAACCCTGTTAGCTTCAACTAGTTACAATTCATGATCTTTTGATGTATCTTTGAGCAATATTGGTCTAATACAGAGTAATCATACGAATACACACAAAAAATAAAAATAGTAAAACCATTCATTATACATGTTAACGAGTATGATTTAAGGTAAAACTTATACCATCTCAGTTATGTATTGAAACTATAATTAATCAAAGTGACTAAATAGATAAAAAAAAAATAAGATATTATCATTCTAATATTAAACATTTTAAGAATATTAATTGATAAAATTAACACATGCTTATATTAAACTTACTTGATTAAAAATTGTGATGCGTTATTGCGTGTAGTCTGGTTTTGGTTAGAATTGGATTCCACTACTTGAATATTTAATAAATTTGATGAAGTGCCAGTTGCCTGTATAGGTACTCCAGACCCAACAACATTGTTATTAGCCAAAGATGCAGCAGCAGTTGATGAACTATGACCTTGACGACGAGGTAAACGCTCTAATTGTTGTCTTGCAGCCTGAGTATCCCAATAATATTATAATTAATTATTTGAATAAGGTGTTCTATCTTAACTAATTAACAAAAAATTTAGTTAATTTTACTTACGACTTAACAATAATTATATATCTAAACTATTAACTAAGCATTTTGATCAAATAAATTAATATTTAAAGTAATTTACCATAGTAATCATTTATACTATCAATAAATTTTAATATTTTCATATTTATGATTTGTTAAAAGCCAACCCAACCAAGCAGTTAAAAAGTGTTTATAGATAGTTAAAAACAAAATAAACAGCGTGTGTTACGAGTATGCACAGATAAAATTAATTTTTTTGAGTCATTCAACTGTTAGAATATGAGGTTCATATTGGAATAAAATCAAAAATACACCTTTAAATTTTACTTTTAATTGAAATTAATTTTCTTATTCTATTGTCACAAAAGATATAACATGTTTATGATAACTGAAATAACTAATGTAAGTTTTTAATTGGACGTTATGAAAATAATCTATAAAAATTGCATTTATTGTTTTCTTAATTTTTTTTAATGCACAGTCAAAATTATTTGAAATTAAACTATTTAATGGATTTAAATAACATTACTTTAATTCTCGAAAATATAATGCTTAATTATAATATAAAATATAATTTATTAACGAATATAAACTAACGGTGATGTGCAGTAACCTTTTTTTGTACCCTTTAAAAATTTCATTTTAAAAATAAGATACTTAGTGATAAAGGTATATAAAATAACCTAATTTTATTACTTAATTTTCTCAGACAGTAAAAAAAAATAAATCTTTTATTAATATTGATAATCAAATTGTTTAAAAAGCTTATGAGCTTCTTAAATAAAATACTGTACCCTGACTTGTTGCCTTTCAAGCTGCAACTGCATCTGCAACTGTTGCAACTGTGATGACACATTATTAGCAGAATGACCCCCTTGAGAACTACTTGCTGATGATCCAGGTACACTACTAGATTGAGCTCTTCGAACACCACTTAATTGTGATAATAATTCAGCTATTGGATCTGAAGTATCTCTTGCTCCACCACTAGAAAAATGTAATTTTTATTTTAGTTCATAAATAAGATTATTATGTTTATATGTTTAATTTAAAATATGAGCCTAAACAAGTTCATGTGGGGATTAATATTCATCAATGCTATAAAATGCTATGCTATTAGGTTTTAAGTAATATATTAAGGTACAAGGCTTTTAAAAATATAAAAATTTTTATTCCTTTATAAATGTTTCACTGTTGAAAACCATAGTTGAAAAAATTAATAAAAATACAGTAGAACTCCAATTATCCGAACTCCGATCATCCGAATCGCCGATTATCCGAATCACTTTCAGAAAAAATCAGAAAAAAATTTGTCCTAAGTCCGCGGCGTCAGTGTAGGCACAACACGTGGTAAGAGTTCCCAATCCAGTTCCGGCGCATTGCAGTCACCTGTCATTGTTTATTTTGATTAGTCAGTGAATGGGTCCCGGTCCCCATTAATTCGGATAATTGGAGTTCTACTGTAAATACAAATGAAAAATTTAACTTCTATTTTAATTAATAACAATAAAAACTTTCAAGGCAACAAATGTAGAAACAATACTACATTACTTTTATCAACAAATTTTAAGCCAACAGACTACTATATGAATAAATATAATATAGTTAAATTGTCCGTACTTTGCAGCCCGGTACCTGAAATTGATAGCTCTACGAACTCTTGTACTCCCCATACCACGAGAAGATTGTGGTATACGCCTAGCTGAATGTCTAGCTACTGTTGGTTCATCTTAAAATTTTAAGTTAAGGTATATGGACTTGTGAAAAATATGTAATTATAATTATAATATAAAATAACAGTACATTATAACAAAAATAACAACTAGGTAAAAATATATCAAATATTTCTAATTTCTAAAAAAAAACTTAATAAGCAATACTATCTTGGTAAAAAAAGGATATTAAAAACGAAATTAAATCTCGTGGAACATTTGGACTAGCACGATGTTGCATCTGTAAATGAACAGAAAAATCATCTGTCAGCAAATTTGGATCACCTCCTGGATGAGCTGCACAAACTGGACAAACCTAAAATAGGATTATTAAAATTTGTTTAATCATCACTTTAATAAATCTTTAAAAATAGCAATTCAAAGTAAAGAATGTTACACATTATAGAATGTATTTTGTAATTATGCTATTACATAACACTCATTTAACTATTACTCACAACTTCTGCAGTTGAATCTGGATGTTCATTGGTAACATGTTCTGTAAGAACTGCTTCAGTAAGACCCATACGCCCACAAAAAGGACATGTAAAAGCTTGTGGTTGGTCAGATCCCAATGACTCACCACCATAATATAACTCAAAGTCTGCTCTTGTTAATATACATTGCATAGGGTGATCAACAGAATGACGAGGAGTAGATGCACCAGCTTCATAACAATTAGCACATAAGTCATAATCATAACATTTCAAACACTTAAAACGACGCCCTTTAAAATTTCCTCTCATGCAAGCATCACAACTGACTCCTACAAAAAAAAAAAAAAAAAAATGTTACAAGATAATTATTTAAATGTAGTTAATTCATTATTATGTCATGAAACATGTGTCAATAATTTTTTTACTTAATCTAAATAAATTAGCAAATAACTAACATGAAATAGGATTAAATGCTTACAAATAAAATAATTATCAAAACGAATTTTACAACTGAAAATAGTAATAAACTTTTTAGCTATGGTTAGCTTAATTTGAAAGTTTTTTATTTTTATTTATATAATAAAATATTTAAAATATTACATGTTTTTAATCATACTATTACCTTTTTCTTCTTTCTTGGTTCTGGCCTTCAAAACCATACCACTAAATACATACTTTGCCATCTATCTATCTTAATAACGTTATGTACATCCTTATTTTAAGAGGGTCCTAGAACTTAATCCCATCAGTAAAACACTTATTTTCTAATTGTAATCATGATAACACCTCAGTCATAACATCATTATCCTGTATACCATTTCTGTTACTATAGATAACACATAAATATTCAATCTTATTGTCGTTTACAGTTAATTCCACTTTTTCAGCAGCAGCCTTAATGAGTTTTTTTTATGAGACGATTTATTGTTTCTATATCTCCAAAGAGAGCAATATCACTCATATATGCTAGGAGTCATACTGTTATCTGCCCAAGCACAATTCTTTCTAAGCCATTTATTTCTCGTAATATTTTCTCCAACACCAAGTTAAACAACACTGGGGATAGTGCATCCACCTTGTTGGAGTCCTAAAGTTACTCTCATAGGTTGTGATGTTGTATTTTCTATCTTAACTTTTATATCCGTCTGATTAATGATGGCTACAATGACGTTTACAATTTTTCTTGTAAATCTAAATTCTTAAAGTTTCTTTATTAGGATTTCTTTATGAATAGAATCATATATTTTCTCAAAATCTACAAATAATATAGTTTTTCATAAACCATGGAGTTTAAAGACATTCTTAAACATTTGATTTGGAGTATTTGCAATATCTTGATTTTAATAATGGATGCTAAGGATTCGACAGGACAAGCATAAATGATCAATGGTTGTATTATTGATATATACAAAAATAAGTGATGATTTAATGTGGAGATTTGATTTGTGGTTAAAGAGTAGATACAGAATTCTGTTTCTGTAGTAAACTTGGGACAGTTTTTTTGTTTATTTAGATTTTCTAAGTTTTTCATCTAGATGGATAACGCTAAACACATACTGACAGTATGTTAATAATGGTAACATTGTTTCCGAAATACGTATCTGCGACTTTTCATTAATTTTTTTGTGGCTTTGAGTTTAATATTTTTAATATTTTTTAGTTTTTTAAATTAATAATATTTTTAATATAGTTTTAATTTTACTTAATCCAAATTGAGTTGTATTTCAAGGAATATCTTTTATTTTCATTTTTTTTTTTTTTTTTTATAATTTAAAAATGAAGGAGATTTCTTTAATAATGTATTTACAATTATTCAACTTAGTTAAAAAAAAGCAAATAAAAAATGTTCAGCTTCGCATCGAAGCTAATAAAAAAAATGAATTGTTTTGAGTAACATAATAATTTAATGACATACATAATAGGATCAAAGTAATTTTAAATATTACTGATTTTTTTTAATTCTTGTTAAAGAATAAAAGCATAATTAACAATTATTTTTTTAGGAGCAATATCGTCTAGATTTTCAACAAGAAATTAGAAACTAGAGTAACAAAATTAGAACTTAGAAAGTACTATGACTGGAGTTTTAATTAGTAATTCTAAGAGTAACGTTGCTATAACACAAAATACTATAAAATAAAAATAAAGAAATTCAAATTTGCTAGACATATTACCTTGGTGATAATAATTAAACAAATTGTTTATAGAAATAAAAAAAAACCAAATGTTTTAAGTACATATACTTTGTTTATAATATTTTTTATATTTCATTTGTATACAAAAACATTATTTCTTAAGGTTAAACTTAAATTAAATTATTTGATTGAAGACATATGAAAGAGTGAAGCATGGTTTTATATTTTTGATACAATTTGGCAAAACCAATTTTTTTTTTTTTTAACAAAATATAAGTAATATTTAACATAAAAATTATAATGACTCATAACTTTTAATTACTTTAATTTATACATAATGAGTGTTTCAATTAAAAGCTATCTAATAATATCAAACATGATAAACAAAAATTGTAATATTTCATACATTTCTAGTATAAAACCTTAATAAAAATAATAGAATTACTAATAAGTTAAGTCTTTAAAACAGCCCAGCAATTATAAATTTATTAAATTACCTTCATGACGTGACATTTCACGAGTTTTGTCTCAGTAATCAACGTCGTTTTGCGGAGTTTGATGTACATTAACAAAGATAAATATTTTTAAATTATTACGTTTTAAACACTTTAAACTAATTAAATAATATAATTACTATTATTATTCACAACTAAAATCCACTACTTAATTGAACGCTAGTGGGTTATAATAAATAATATCTATCAGTAACAAAAATTTATAATTATAAGTCGACTAATGATATAGTATTTTTTTCTTTATTCCCATTTTTGCAACTTCACAACAGCCGATTACGGGATGACCAACGATTGTGCATGGAAGAAACTAGAACTCTGTGATAAAACTCTGTCATTTCGTTATTTTGATAAAATTCAGGTTTACCAATTTATATTTTTAAGTATTTTGTTGCTTTACGTTTTGGTAATGATTGTTTTAGTTAATATTATCTTCTTTTCATGTCCGACTTTTTAAGTCGAACGTTAAAGTAAATATTTATATTAATTTTTCAAATGAATATAGTAATCAGTATTTAATGTGATCTCTTAGTTAAATTTTAATTAAATATTTCCTCAACTTAAAATAAAAGACCTCATAAAAAAGTGTTTCTGCATACTATTATTTGGTAAGGAATTACTATTTTAATTAGATGATTACACAAACTTTTTGTTGAAATTTAGCATCTTTGAATATTTTATAATCCTAAAGTTAATATTTTTGTTGATTATTTTGCTGTTGTATATAAAATATATAAATGTCCACAAAAATCTGAGTTAAGTATCTTTGTAATTAGTTAATTAATTATTATAACATAATAACAAAACTCTTTGTTTTTTTAAATTATTGGTTTTATGTAGAACTATGCTATTATTTATTATTTTTTTATTTTCAATTAAAATAATTAAAACATTAACTGTTAATAAATGTACACAACCTTATGCTTTAATCACCACTTCTAAATTTATTAATGTTGATATCTTAAAAAGTATAATTTTAAAGCTAATTTTTGATAAAGATTAAAGGTTATGTAAAATATTAATATAATAACTTTTAATTTGTTTTTAAACAATTGTATTAGGTATGTACTTTAAGAGTTATCTTGTTTAATAAATATAAATTATCAAAATGATACAATTTATATAAAATTTATTTATTTTTTAGCTTAAAATAAAATGAAAGAAATGTTAGGTAATTGCAGTGTTTGTAGTGAAGATAAAGCATTTGATGGTAATCCTTTAGTTTATTGTGATGGTCCAAATTGTAATGTAGCTGTTCATAAAGCATGTTATGGTATTCGAGTAGTTCCAAAAGGATCTTGGTATTGCAGTAAATGTGTTGTTTTAAAAAAAAATCCAAGTGCCAAAGTCATATGTGAACTGTGCCCATCTAAAGATGGAGCTCTCAAACCAACTGAAAGTGGCTATTGGGCTCATGTTGTATGTGCTTTATTTATTCCAGAAGTCACATTTGCAGACGTTGACACAATGGAACCAATTAAATTAAATGAAATTCCTCTTGATAGGTACAAAAAAATTTGCTATATTTGTGAAGAAAAAAATAGAGAGTCAAAAGTGTCAGGATATGGTGCTTGCATGACTTGTAAAAAAAGTGGTTGTAAGTTGGGATTCCATGTTACTTGTGCTCAGATCGTAGGACTTTTATGTGAAGAAGCTGGCAATCATGGTCGCAATGTTCAATATGTTGGATATTGTAGACATCATTATTCTAAATTAAAGAAAAGCAGTAATGTAAAAATAAAACACATAGCTCCTTACCGCCCCCAAAATTCATCAGAGTTATCTTTAGAAGAGTTTTCTCAAGAAAAGCTGTCTTCCAACATTGATAGTGAAGGACACAAATCAAAAAAGAAGTATGGAAATTTTGATGAAACAAAAGAAAAAGTTTTGGGTAATTTTAGTGTTTCTAACCAACATCAAATAATGAACAATCGATCAAATCGCCCTAAAACTGAAAATATATCTGTTGGAAGAGTTAAGCAATATCCTAACGAAACAAATCTGGATAAAACAATCAAATCAGAAAATATTGACGTATTAATGGATATTGATTCAAATAATGATTCCCAACAATCAGATACTTTAAAAATTATTGAAGAACCAAATTTATCAATAATTGATACTAATTTGACTAAACAACCAAATTTGCCTCCCATTAATTTAACCAACTCATGGATCAAAGAACCAAATTTTACTAATTCATCTTCTAACACATCAAAAATAGCTCATGATCAAAAAACTTTTGAACCTATTGCTGATGCACCTCATATGCTAGGAAATGCTTTAAATCCTAATTCTTCTATGGCCCAACAAATGACTGATACTTTGAATGAAGAAATTGAAACACACAAACAATTCAATGAAACTAATGAATCATCACAAAGACAAAATTTTGTAGGTCCCCAATTACACCGCAATATTCAAAAATCTTCAGAAAATTCTCAATCAGGTTCAGAATGGTTTACTAACGGAATTGGTAACAGTGCTCAAAGCTTAGAAGATTTACTTGAGCGTCAGTGGGAGCAAGGGGGTTCATTGCTAATGGAACAGGCTCAACATTTTGATGTAGCATCATTACTCTCATGCTTATATCAACTAAAAAATGAAAATATAGGATTAGAAAAAGAACTTGCAAATTTTACAAGACGTCGTGATCACTTATTAGCTGTCAATGCTCGCCTTGCTATTCCTTTGGTTCCTCAAAATAGAACAAATCAAGTTTCTTCAACTCCCAACCATGTTGATACAACAATATCACCCAGATCAAATTTTTTATCATCTATGGACAGTCAAGTAATTCAACAGCATAGATATCAAAATTATGCTTCACAATCATCTAGATATCAGCATCATTTTTCTTCAAATGTATCAGTACCATCACAAGTAATTGTTCGAGGAGGTAATGACTCATGGGAACAACACAATAGAAATCAAACTTCTATGACAAGTCCTATGTATCAGACAGCTATATCAGATATACAAAGTATACCACCTTCAAGACATCAAATCAATATGGAAACTTTGCCTAAACATAGCTGAGATAATGTCGAATGTCTTTGTACATATTGTATATCGACAATAACTGATTATATGCTTCATCATTTTATTTAGTATAATTGTATGTTAATATTAATAAATAGTTCAATAAGGCTATTTCTCAAATAACTGTGTTCATAAAATTATTTAAAATTTACAATTAATAATGACATTTACATTTTCACCAAAAATATGACTTTTTTTTTATAAGTTTGTATGTAGTTCTTGTTATTAAAAACTTGAATAATTCACTTGTTGTTGTTTTTAACATTAGAATAAGTTCTTACGCTTTTTTTATTATATAATAATATATAATTAGTTATATAATAGCTAATTACTATAAGAATATATTTTGAATATTATATTTTTAAGAGAACAGTTTTTAAGTTTTTTAAAATAACCTCCACAATAGTGGATTTACTTTTAAAACATTTGGGATGCAAATAGTAAGCATAATTAAATTGTAAAATTATATTTTTGTAAAAAAATTACACATTTATCTGTTATAAAATAATTTTTAGGTCCATTCCTTATATATTATAGAGGTACTAACTTCTTTTAATGGCAACATACATTTTTAAATAACTTAAAAAATAGAAATTGACTTGTCGATAACAACTTTCTGATTAATACTTAGAGAGTTATTAATATCTTAAACTATAGACTAGAGGTGAAGTATAAATATTGCTATTTTTATCATTAGTCATTTCATAACTACTCTCCTCCTCACATTTAGGTACAAAATTGTGAATATCTTACAGAGCAATGATCCAACATGATGGTTATTAGGTAAACTAGTGTAATCCTTATAATTTTAAAGGCAGACTTATATGACATTAAAAGCCTTTATTAGTTAAAGCAGTATACTGTTAAAATTGAAAACGTATATATATTTTAGAGAAACTGCCCCGCAAAGTTTTATAATTATACTTAAACTCTTAGTGAGAATCGTTTTTGTATTTTATTTTAAAGGATAGAAAGATTTCTTTATTTTATTATAAATGTAATTATCAAATAGATTTTGCATTTGCATAACAAATTTAGATCACATCTATTCACAATATTAATTTATTATATATATATATTAATTAGTACACTTGTGTATGTATTCATTGTATATTCCTAAAAAAATATTTATTGTATTAATTAAGTTTCATGATAATTTCATTTAAGTACCTTAGGGTAATTAAAATAAAAATAAATTCATTACTTCACAGATATAATTTATAAAAAAAAACATTAAATTACTCATACATTATCATATCTAAAAATTATATAAGTTCTACTGTTCATCCTTAATATAAAAAAATTCTGAAGGCTTAACATTTCTTTTACCCAATAAAATTTAAAATTAAATAACTATATAATAATAGACATTAAAAAATGAAAGTTAACATAATAATTTAATGTCCAAGAATAACATTCATATAGTAGTAGATTCCTAAGTTAAACGGTAAAATATTTAAGTATAATTATAACATAGTATTATTAAGATATTTTAAAATTGTACTTAGAAATTCTTCATCTTCCATGATAGGAATGAATGATTTAAATGAATCAAATTTAACTTTTGAAATATTAATATCCCAATTGGGAATTAATTTATCATAACATGGCCTTGGTATGAAATCAGTTAAAAATTGTAAATAATCTGATGTGTTCATGATTATTTTGTATTTTGCCATGTGGTATTTCAACAAATCTGAATACATTTGCATATCAACCTCTTCATTTCTTACCTCTTTCATAATAGAAGCTAAATATAATACAAATTTTTCTGCATATTTTACAGAATAAATATTGTATTTATATTCTAACTTACTCACTAAAAAATTATATAAGCGCTTGGTAACCCATGGCTCTTTATTGTATAAGGTTTTAAAATTTTCTGTTATATTTTCTTCAATACCTGATTGCTCCAATATACTTTCATCCGAAACTGTAACAGATGAACATATGAATTCAGATGGACAATCCATTGCTAATGCTCTGGTTAAGATTGATGGGCTATGACTGCTAATTTGTTTTTTCAGTGATCTCGTAAATACTCCAGCTGTGCGATCTTCCAATTCAAAAATTCCAGGATGCAATTTAGTACTTTTTCTTGCAGAAATTATTCCAATAACATTATCTATATGCTGTGTGATGATACTTCTGTTGTTGATAATTGAATTTTTATCATATGGATTAGATGTTTTATTAGTTGTATTTTCAGATATTGTTAACCAATTACTAGAGGAGTTATCAAAAGTTTCATTAATTTGTGATCTAATAGTAACATTTTTATTTGAAGTTGATAAATCACTAAGTCCTTTGCTGTTTTGTTTTTCTGACATTAATTTTAAATTTTCGAAAGATATTTTTAACTTATTGGCAGCACTAGTATTTCTAGTAGACCTACGTACTGAGCTATTTCTAAAAACTTTTTTTCTTGATTTTGAAGTATTAATACCATTAGATGATATATTATTTGAAATAGTTGACCTATCAACATCTAATGTTTTAGCTGATAATGCAGATGAAATATTTGATTTTTTAGGAGTTATTTGATTATTTGATACGGTAAGAGGTATATTATTATCAATATCCATATATTCATCACATTCAATTAAGTTATTTTTTAATTGATCAACAGAAGGTTCTGTCAAGTTTAAATCATTTTTTATTTTTGAAATTTTTTTCTTTAATGAATTTTCACTTAAATTTGTTGAATTTATTACTTTAGAACAATTGTTATATTTTAACATATTATGAATACCTTTAGAAGAAGAGCTTTCACTATTTAAGAAATCTTTGGTGAATTCAGTCGGTTGTGTCTGACCTTTTGAATATTCTGTAGTACCAGCAAAACTTTTGTTGATCTTTAACATATCATGATCTGATCTACTATATGATTTAATAGCTTTTCTTTTGTTCAATAATGATAATTCTGAAAAACTTTTTGAGGTCTTAGTTTTAAAAATTTTATTTGATAAATCATCATTTAAAATTTCAGATGTTACATCTGAGAGATGTGAACTGCAATTCTTATTGGAATAATTTTTAGAACTATCAGAAGAAAATGATGAAGTATTATTTAAACTTAGAATTTCAGATTCGGATTCATAACTAATCACAGTATTATGAGAAACATGTGATTTATTCATACTTTTTCTTCCTGATAATTTTTTTGATGAAGATCTTGTCATTCTATTACAGTGAAATTCTTTGACAGTTGTCAGTTTATTGTCATTATCGGTTGCACGTACACTTTCATTTCTATATAATAAACTATTATTAGAGCATAATGAAGTATTATTCAATTTAAGAGAATTTAATGATTTTTCATTGTTTTCAGTATTATTTAATTGAGATTCATTATTTAAATTCTCAATTTTATTTTTAGAGGCTGATCTTGTTTTTCGAACATTTAATGATATGTGATCCAGGGGTGAATCAATACTTTCTTTTTTTTCTTTACTCATAATTATTCTGCTGTTAACATCAGTAGAAGAGGATTCTGTTAAAAAATCATGTAAACTTGCTGAGACATTTAGACATGCTACTTTTACATTGCTTTGTGTTTCACTTACAATATTATCTTTATGAATAGAAACATGTTTAGAAACTGATCTACTATTCTCATTGTTTAAAGTCATGTCATAATTTAGTATTCCAGTTGTTACATCTGTTAAAACTGATTCTTCTATTTCTGTATAAATATTTTTTGACTTGTTTGACTGATCAGAAAAAGAATTATTTTTATCATAAGAATTAGTCATGAGCGTGTTATTGATTTTACTAGATAATTGAGATACATTTAGTATTTCATCAGTATTTTTTGAGGATCTAGTCATTCTTATATTATGTGATATATCATTTTTTGTAGAATTAAAAGTGGTACTTGTTTGAACACAACTGCTATTTTCATAAGAATCATTCTTGGAACTACAAATTGAAAATGATGAAATATTATTCAAACTAAGCACATCATATTCAGATTCAAAATTAGTTTTATTTGACATGCTTGATTTATTAGTATTCTTTGTGTCTGAAAATCTTTTTGACATAGATCTTGTTCTTCGGCTAGTATCTTGTAATTCATTAGTATGATCCTTTTCAGTGATATTTTGTGAAATTTCACTATTAGACAGCATGCAAGTTAAGTTATTAGTATGGTTCAATAATTCATTTACCTTATTAGAAGTAGATGTATTAACTTTTTCAGATATCAAAGACTGGTTGGGTTGAGCTGGACTGGATTTAATACTTTCATTACTTAATAAATTATGCTCAGTTTGTGATACAAATTTGGAATCATTTAAATCTTGACTATTTCTAATTACATTTTCAAACATACGTGCATTATCTGAAACATTTTTTCGGTTAAATTTAATTTCTTTTGACAAATTTTGACTTGCACAACTATCTAAAGTATCATTAATACAGTCACTAAATAGTTGTGATTGCGTAACTATACATTGTTTGCCTACAAATTTATGAACAATTGATTGAGACAAATCAGATATTGATACATTTTGCAATGTTTCTTCAGCTTTTTCATTACTCTTAAAAGATGTATCTTTATTAAATATTTTTTCTTCGTTATCATAAGTATGAGAGATATGATCAACACTTCTGCTACTAAATGAATTTTCACATTTTGATCCATTTAAATCTTGACTGTTACCGATTACATTATCAAACATAGATGCATTATCTGGAATATTTTTTCGGTTAAATTTAATTTCTTTTGATAAATTTTGACTTGCACAACTATCTAAAGTATCATTAATACAATCACTAAATAGTTGTGATTGCGTAACTATACATTGTTTGCCTACAAATTTATGAACAATTGATTGAGACAAATCAGATATTGATACATTTTGCAATGTTTCTTCAGCTTTTTCATTACTCTTAAAAGATGCATCTTTATTAAATATTTTTTCTTCATTATCATAAGTATGAGAGATATGATCAACACTTCTGCTACTACATGAATTTTCACATTTTGATCCATTTAAATCTTGACTGTTACTAATTACATCATTAAACATATTTGAATTACTACTCAATACATCTTTATGATTAAATTTTAAATGAATAGGTGAAGTACAAGGTGAATCACATTGTACGGTCTTATCAATTAAATCATTGAAAACTCCAGATTGTGTCCCAATGCTGTGATTTACAGTGAAATGTTTCACTGTTGTTTGAGATAAACCATATATTGAGTTTTGACTTTCAGGAGCAGTTTTTTCTATAATATTTTCTGAAGACTTATTTGTGTCTATTAAATAATCTTCTAGAATTAGATTAGATGAAAAATTAACAACATGATTATTACTAGACTTTTCATGAATCTTTGAAGTTTGAATAGATGATGCAAAGTTAAATTTTTTACGTGTTTTTGTTTGCGATTTATTCAGTGCAGTAAAGTTTTCAGATTTATTTATGTTTTCATTAGGAAATGATCCGGAATGAGAGTGATTATTTTTGTTACTGCTTAGATTTAATTCGAATAACGATTCATTAGAACTACAACAATTTTTACTATCTATTACATGATTATTATGCATATTAGTTACACTGGTTGTCTGTGTAAAAGATGAATTTTTTAACTCGATACATTTATTATTTTCAATAGATTTAGATAATTTATTATTGATAGATGATTTTTCTTTGTCGTCAATCTTTTTGAAAGTTATACTATTTCCAAAATTGCTTCCTTGAGTTTTATTAATTATACCATCAAAAACTTCTGAATCATGGAAATTTTTATTTAGTTTAAATTTACCGTTTTTTTTTAATGTTACATCATCCTTGAATGAAGTAATGGTTTTGTTATTATCAACAGTATAAGTATCTGAATGAACATTATTTTTCTTTAATAAGGAAGAACCAAAATCATAAGTTTCAGATTGGTTAGATTTTTCTAAGGTATATGTTTCATTGTTTTTTTGGCCCTGCGACTTAAGCAAATCAATGCATTCTTTTGTTGTTTGTGATAAATTAATACGAGTTGAGTTACAATTGACATTAACATCATATGTATGATTTAAACTAGGAATGTCAAGAGAGCTGCACATTGAGATTTGATCAACATTTGAAACTGATAGGTTATTCAGAGTTGAATCTCCTACATATGGGTCAACCCACGATGATGATTTATTATTTGAATGATTAGTTTCATTCAAACTATTACTTAAAATTAAATCTGTTGCTCTAGTTAAGCTACAGTAATCTCGTTGGCTCCTATTTGAATTATTTATCTCATTATTTGTATTACTAATAGGTAAAGAGACATCAACTGGTTTTTTAAATTTTGAATTATCTTTCATACTACTTTTATTAATAGAAATGCTTCTGTTACTAATAACAGAATTATCAACAGAAGTCAAACTATAATTTGACACATCAGAAGTTTTGTTTTTATTTCTTTTTGAAAAACGTAATTGTGGAGAATCAATACTAAGTTCTACACTACTACATTTAGTATTATCAAGTTTACTAACATTATTGAAATCAACATCAGAGGGAGGTAAAATACGTTTTCGTTTTTGAAAACAGTTCAAGTTACAATTGCTACTAATTTCCATTTTACTATCATCGTCATCAGCAAATATGTTTTCAAACATAAAACTATAATTATATGATGATGTTTTTTGCCTTTTTTGAAATGCTGTAGTTTTGCCCGATGTTGAACATGTAATGTCATCTGGTTGAAAATTTGATTCATTCATATTAGTAGTATCACTATCTAATACCATAAACTTTTCTTTACTAACTAGAGTTTCAGATGGATTTGCACAACAATTTTTAAAAACATTGTCACTCAAAGAAGAGTTATTTGGCTTTGATGTTAATGAATCTAATGAAGATAATACTGACCATTCAACATTGAAAGTTCTATCACCAGTTTCTTGTAAACACTTTTGATCTAAAAATTAATACTATTAATCAATCAATGTAAAAGTTAAGGCATAATTTAGATAATAAAACTTATATTAAAAAAAATTATATAAAATAACAAAAATACTTATATAACCACATAGAAATTATCTAGTAATCATGCTATTATTTTAAAATAAAAAAATAATAATCCATTCATATCATATTATGTATGAGATAAAATATTTTTAACACATTATTTACAGTAAAACATAAAAATTACTTACCAATTAGGCCTGAGGAGCTGTCCATATCACAAATAATTACCCGATTATTTTGAGCTGGATTTATAAGAAAACATATAAAAAAAATTCAGATAAATTACTTTTTTTTTTTACAGTAAATAATAATTAAAAGAGGACACCACCACATTAGAAAACTACTAGATTAGACTATAATATGGTCAATCTAAATTTTAAATATTATGTTTATATTAAAAACAGTTATCTATTTTTTTATTCAATTTATAATAATATTTATTATTTAATGATAACTAGTGAAAGGATTTATATGAATTTATACATTTTGTTAAATTATTCTAAACATATCACCAGCCAATATAAAATGTATTAATAGGTTTAAAAACTTAGTAATGTGATCTAAATGAGGGACTTATTCTCTTTAAAATAAAAATATTTCTACGCTAGTGTATATTCCAATAACAAATTTGCACAAACTTAGGTTCTTTTAAAACAATTTGAATAAAATTTATAAATGCATATAAATTCAAATTCTAATGATAATAAAACTTTATTTTTTAAAAAGTATGAATAATGAGCTATTTTAGTAACAAGCTTTATATTTGTCACCAAGTATGAATTTTTAAAACATTGATTTAATCCCTAATTTTTAATATGTAAAATAAGATGACTTAATCAAAATCGAAGTCTATAAAACTGTTAACTTTAGAGATTAATAGAGTGATAATAGAACAATTTTTTTTATTTATTGTAATGTTTAATCAAATATTGAGTAGAAAATTTTTTTATTGGTTAACTTTTTTCTTTAAGTAATTTTAGAAAATTATGGGAAAATTTTCTTTTCTGGTTGCTTACAGCTCCCCTTAAAGAAAAATTGAATACAACATTGATTAATGTTCATTAAACTCAATACAACATTGCTTTTTATACTAAAATTTATTTAATTTCGTGTGGTTTTCTCTTAATTTTTAAAATGCTTTTAATAAAATAAGATATATACATTGACTTAACAAATCTTTGTTATACTGGACAAAGAAGGAAGCTATAGAAAAAAAAATTAAAAAATCTACTTAATAAAATAAAATAATTGTTTTAATACCTATTAGTCTATTTAAATATTTAACTTTACAATTAAATTAATCATTAATTATAAAAAAAAATCATAACGCAAAGTCAATAAAATGGACTTTGCATTATAAATTGTTTTATATTTTTATTACATATAGTACTTACGATCACAATTAGACATATTCCATAGGACTTTTTTACTTTTTTAATCGATTAATAACATTGAGTATTGACATGATATAATAAATAACACACAATATTTAGTTCATTTTCCCTCCACAAATTTACTACCACATTTAGTGATTAACCTTCTAAACAACGGAATTTTTGAATCAACGTTGCTGCTTATCAGTGTTACCATTAGTGAGATTATAATTTTACTAAACTATGGTTGTTGAAAAATATATGACTCATTTCATATCGTTGCAAGAATAATACACCAGTAATTAGTGATGACATCTTGTTATCAATTTTAATAACTGTTACAAACAATAATAGTTACTTTCCAAATAACAGTTACTGTTATTTTGTAAGAAACTATTAATAACAGTGACTAACATTAATTTTTTATCAGCAATTTAAATGTAAACATAAAATTACTCTTAATAATTGTCTTAGTGGGCAATAACTAATATGACTCTTCGTTATTTCACAAATAAAAGAAGGAAAAAATTTACATGATAACTAATTTGTTTATAAATTATCTAAAAATATATCCCTTACAATCTACATTTTATTAGTCGTTCGAAATATCCATTATTTCTATAAAAATTAAAAAATCATATTTGAATCCTATTTAATTCACAACAAATAGATCTTTGGCCTTCTAAGGATAATTAGCACTTTTAGTGGTTTATTCTGTCTTATTTTAATACAAAACGCAAAAAAAACCTTACGAGGACACCATGAGATTGCGCTTATAGATGTTTTACAACCAAACTCTTCAATCACATCTTGTCAAACATTCTAGATGGCATGCGTGCATATTTACGGGCGTCTAATATGGAGCGCCATATCATTCTACCACAGACTATATCTCATATAGTCTGTGATTCTACTACTGGTTGTTATGTTGTGCGTGACATTATTTTCATTAATAAAGGCGATAAAGCGCACATAATATTAAACAAAATGAATATGTAATTAAAATAAAATATCATTAGATAATATTATGATATTCTTTCGAATGTTACCGCTTATTAAACGTTGATGTTTTATGTTTTATGAAATTCTAAAATAATAATACCTAGTAATATGTAGTAGTTGGTACTTAGTTAAGTTTAAACATTGGACATGATTGAAATTGTTTGGGAATTAATTATTTAAATTTTAGCCGATTGTAAATCAATTCATTTCAAGAATAGTGAAAAAAAGTTTTTTTTATATCTTTTTATGCACTATCACCTTTAGAGTAATCTGTTAGTTTTTAGTGAGACCTGTTTTGCCTTGCAAATAGTTTGTATGGAAGCGAAAAAATACCAAACAAATTTTTAATAATTTTTTTTTTTTGTGTGTGTGAATTTGATATACTTTTTTGGCTCTTTTATATCCGATCTGAGCAACCTTTTAGGGAAATGAGGATCTTCAATCTCCGGAAGTAAACACTCCACATAAAACCTACTAAAGAATTAGTGACTGTGAAACGCGTATTTCACAAAATACACAAATCGTAGTGAAGTTAAAATATCAAAGTATACTGATTATAATATAATAGTTAAAAATTATAACTTTCAACGTTGATGCACAATGAAGCAAGAAATGAAGGAGTTCACTAAATAAATTCATACTTGGTCAGTATAAAATGTATGATTGACATTACCAATAAATATAGTTTAAAGAATTAAAAAAAACACGCTTTTAAAGCACATCAAAATAAACTTAAACCAATAATGAACAAAAAGTACTAGTATTATTGTGATAAAAGCGTCGGGCGCTCAATATACGAAAAATATGACACAATGCACCCACGCTTTCATCACAATAATACTAGTATTTTTTTCATAATTATTTTATAAATTATTTTTAACTTTTTAGTTCGATGTGCTTTAAAAGCGTGTTTTTTTAGTTTTTTAAACTATATTTATTTTTTACTTTTTAGTTTCATGTTATGATAGTAGTTACTATCAATATCATGGTTGTTACGGGTAACGGGAAATCAGGGTTCGATTCCGGGGAGGGAGTCTGAGAAACGGCTACCACATCCAAGGAAAGCAGCAGGCGCGTAAATTACTCACTCCCGGAACGTGGAGGTAGTGACGAAAAATGACGATACGGAAATCATCCCTCGTAATCGGAATGAATACTTTATATCTCTTAATTAGAATAAATCGTGTTAATATATTAATTTTAATAGTAATTAGAATATATATATTTATACAAATAATGCGACTTAACTACGTAAAAGTATCATGCACTAAGTATAGCTGTGTTTTATGGCCGGGCGGGTCGGACTAACGTTATACCCGAGGTATAAACGGCGGTAGGAATATATATATATATACGTAAGGCGCATTAGACGCGGGCGTTATTGGTCAGTCAAAATAAAAATTTGTTTACATATATATAATATTGATGACAAGCACGCGTGTACGGGTACGATAACTAAAAATAAATTTTTATAGGAATAGTGTACCGTCGTATTGTGAGCGAGGCGTGGGGAGGGGTGAATGCGTATAACAGTCTAGTCTAGACAACGGAATATGCGATAACGCGTGGCGTTTGGAGAGTTACAAA